TATTAACATTTTCCATTATTAGTTACATTTTATATTACATATAAAATATATTCATATATAATATAATAATACATTTTAAATATAATAAATATAATATATAAAATAATAATGCATATCATTATTTATACATTTTGAAGGGATATTTAAAATGTATACTTTAAATAAAATATGAAATATAGTCTTACAGTGAATGTGAATACATGTGCTGTTTGAGATCTTGTTTCCTCACAAACATCTTGTCACAATGGTCACATTTAATGTTCTTGGCACCAGTGTGTATAACCATATGAGATTCCACATGTGCTTTCTGAGTAAAATACTTCCCACATACTGTACACCTGAAGTTCTTCTGACCTGCAGAAAAAAAAACATATATATTTCATGAGCAGAGCAGTAATGATGAGAGCTAATTTTTCTGGCCAATAATAAAGTAATTTCACTGAAAACAAATTAACCTCAGGTCATTTACCAGAATTCATAAACCACTTTGTTTCTATGATGTAATGCATTTTCAAGTGGGATCGGGTGTAATTGTATCCATCAGGATTCGATTTTTTTTATATCATTAAATCATAATGAATTTAAATATGTTATTACCTTGTAATTATATCAAAATGGCTTGTTATTACAGTTTCACAATTGTGAACAGTTTCAAATGCCATTATCTACAACATGCGCATTGACCTGTGTGGATTCTCAGGTGTTTTCTGAGATTGCTGGGATCACTGAAGGCTTTGCTGCAGTAGCTACACTTATGTGGTCTCATGCCCATGTGCCCCATGAAATGCACATTTAGCTTAGTGGACGTAGTGAACGCTCGTGTGCACATGCTGCATTTAAACTTTCTCTCACGACCGTGCCCATTGCTGCTGCTGGAATGTTCATGCACATCGGAATGGCACTGCCACTGTGGGGAGGAAGCGGACTGGGACAACTCATTGGTCACTTTCTCTTGTGACTGGGATTGGTTGTGTGTAGCGTGAACAGGGTGGTCCTGGGTGGGGCTGTGGCTCTGGGCATGGCTGCTGAGGTGGGATTTAAACTCTGTGAAAGAGCCACATTCTTTTCCACAATGACATATCTGGCCCTCTGGCACTCTGGGCACACCTGATGAGACAGAAATGAACAGATCTTATATGGATATACAGTGCAATTACCTTCTTACAGGTTAAGGTAGAGGGTTCCATGAAAGAGGAAGTCCCACCTAGCTGTCTGCTGTAGTCCCTGCCGTAGTAAAACAACAGCTCCTGATCTGGCAGAATCTCTCTGGATGTGCAGAAATACAGCTTCCCGTTGTCAATATATGCCACGAGATTCTGTTCCT